CGCTGAAGAATTCGGAGCAACTCCAAATTTGAGTGTCGCGTGGACATCGTTGGATACCAAACGCGACCTGCGGAGGGGCAAAAGCGGCCCCTTGTTTGGTGGTGAAAAATGAAGCGGCAGGTTAGGGCGGGCGGCGCTCCGCCCCCGCTCTTGTCCTCCGCCTATACGGTCCTTCTCGGCGGTTTGGAGCCAGCAAATTCATCTCGTCAATCCTCCCGGGAGGGTGTAGCTATGCGGCTCTGTTTACTGTGGCAGAAAGTTAATATAAATTTTCATCAGTGGGGGAAGTTTACACATATGATTCTATTTGTCCTTCATTATTAGCACCTGAGTCTGGGGCCTGGGTAGGCATAATTGTCTACAGACGCAGGCCAAATAGATGCAAGGCAAAAGCAAATAAGCACAGCCCCCCAAAATAATTTGATGCTTGTGTGTTACAATCCTCCACCCAAGGAATTCTTAATCTAGAGAATCAATAAACAAGCAGCAGCGTCGAGTGGCAGCGGAGATGAGAGAAAGAAATGAATAAGGTGATGTGTGGAGAGAAAAGGGGGGAGCTGACAGGGGGGTGGGGGGGAGTAAGTTGAGCACTCCAAGCGCAATCGGCGGGCCGGGGAGCAAACTATTGCCCGCAGACAGGCCACGTGTTTATTTTCGAGGCCGGCGTCTTTCAAATGCGTCCTTGTCGTTCATCGTGGACTCATGCTTGACGGTGGCAGTCGGTCTCAAATGGACGGCCCAGGGGCCAGAAGCGGCCCGTCGAGTGCGTCGGGTCCACCCACTTATGATCCCCCGCAACACTGAGACTTTCAAATGTTCATTCAGTTCGACTTAATTCGCTTCGTGATTTCATAGTTTTGAGAGTTTGAAAGGTCAAGATGACAAATGCCTCCATTTTGCAGCGTGAACACACAAAATGGAGGCTATCGATATGACCCTTTGAGCCACCTCGCCGTGAGAAGTTTGAAGCGCGTCGGTTCAGTTTTGAATTTGATTTGTCAGAAACTTGAAAAGGCCCCAATTTATGATCTTACAATCTGGCCCCTGGATGTTGAATATTGCTAAACACGTTGACAGGAAACCTCATCAACGTCGAGGTGTTCCACCAGCTGTTTTCTTTCAACATCACTTTTCTTGCCACGAAGCCATCTTGATTGATGTTTCTGGCATCAGATTGGAAATGAAAATGTCATTTTCAGAAACAGTGGTCATTTCTCCGTTTCAAATTTGGACATGTCGACTTTGTGTTATTTTCAACTTGATATAATAGGCACTTTGGAAAACATATGGTGAAGATAAAGCACGATAACAGTACACTTAATTTGCCATTTACTGTGATGGTAAAATTAGACGGCGACCCTCGTGACGGGTTCGAAATGGATGATGGATGGATGTTTTTTTTTTTTTTGATGATGCATCAAGTTATGAAATGATGACGGAAGTGACGCAACAGCGCACAGTGTGGCACCTGCTTCCCGCCATAGCTTCAGGCAGAGCTGCGGAAGTTGCGTTGGTGAGTCGCATCCCGTTGACGGTTCACACTAATAAACAATTTTATAAGAATATTTCACTTCATTTTTCCTCTTTTATACTCTGTGATGTGCCCAAGTCGTTCCCTGATTTGCTCCAAGCCCGTATTGGTGCGTTTAATGACATCACGTCAATAACAGCGACTGTTCTTTTTTTTCTCCTTTGACTGTAACTTTACTCCGCGATCACATATGTTGCATATTTTGTTTTCTTCTGAACAATGTTTTGTTCGGCAACGCTACCAGGAAGTTGCATCGTAAAGTCCGACACCCACTGTATCTATATTTCTGACTTCATATCATATTCAATCTGTTTTTGTGTCGAGTTCTGCCGCGTGTTTATGCGGGCATCCATGTGTGCAGCACTCGTCGACGCCGTCGGCGTGACCGCAGTTGTTCTGGCCGACGGCCGAGAGTGTTGAACAGCAGCCCTTTTACTCCCTCCACCAAACACGGCTCACGCATGCACGCAAAACATCTGTTCGGCACGGCAAGGCTTCCGTCGCCATGCGCGTCATCGTCGTGCCCCCCCCCCACCCCTCACACCCACCCACCCACCTCCTGCCCACCTGCGTCGTCGTTCCAATATCCAGCACATCCCGCTCATAACAACAACTCCCGGCGCGGGAGCAGACAGGAAGTGATCTGCGCTGTCCAAACACAATGTCACAGCTCTTCAGACATATCCAATTCGGATGTCACGGCTGCATAACGCGCAGGTCTCCAGGTGGATTTGAAAGAGTGACATTCTTAGCCGATGGCTTATTCCTTGTGTACACACACGCGGCAAACACCTCGGCGCTCACGCACGCCTCGCCCATCCATCCATCCGCCACACACAATAAGCAAAGCAATCTGGAGATTTGTAATGCTTTCTGGGCCTCGGTTCGGCGTGCTCCGCTAATGTGTTTCATGCTTGTTTAAGGTCTTTGCATGCTCCTTAACAAAGGTGCATTGTGATGGGTGTTCCTTATTACCTTGCTCTCTATGGAGTCGAAACACAGACGAGCTGAATGGAGGGTTGATGTATGATTTTTTTTTTTTTTTAAGCCTCCACCCTCCCCCCCCCTTTTGCCCGCTCTGTCAGTCTGCCCTTCACTCTCTCCGCCAGTGTTTTGCCTCTCCGGTGGTCTGTGCATGCCTATTAATGTAGCCCAGGAATGCCTGTGTAAACATTCTTGTTTCTCCGTCCCCCTTTTTTTTTTTTTTTTTCCCCGGCATAATACTCGCCTGTATCGCCTTTCTCCCGACCTCACTATCTGAAACCAATTACACCAGTTCCATTTGGGTGGAATCTTATTTTCATTAGGATCCCCGTGTCATGGTGTCGGTCGCCCCGTTATTTTCCCTCCTCTTATTTATTTTTTTTTCCACCCCTCTTTTCCAACCTCAGTGATAGATATCAACATCAAATATGCCTCTGAGTGCTTTGTGATTCATGCAGCAGCCTCCCGTTCCCTCCCTCCCACCTCCCCACCTCCCCCCCTCTCTCTGTCGAGCACACTTTCTCGTTCTCAAGAATGTGTCACATTGTGCGGTTTATACAACGTGTGCATTAACGGAGGGCAGATGTCACTTTTTTGTGCATAGCAACCCGGGTTAAATAGACGGCAGGTCTGCACCATGCGATGTTTTTGTCAACTTCTGCTACTCTCCGGCAAACTTTTGATGACTTCTCTGTCGGCATTTTGTGCTGTTGTGTGAATTTTCTTTTCTCTGCCGAGCGACACAAAATGGTGACTTCTGCGGTCGGGAATATTCAGCATAAGTGATATGTTGGGGACGTAACACTCTTTCGTGCCTGTGCTCACGAGTTTTACTCACAAAATGGCCACCTCAACCTATAGTAAGCCTGTTTTGGAGAATTTTGTGTGAAATTTCTCACAGCCAAACAACAGTTTAGCTCATCGGCTCATTTTCAGCTAGTGCTGGTAATTAGGGAGGGGCAAGTACCGATACCGGGTATCAATACTAGTCGTTGGCGCTACATTGCGGCGGTTCGACGTATCAATGAATCATCATGTGCACGTCATTCGGAAAAAAAATAAAATTAAATCACGATTATCTGATAGTTTAAATTTTATGTATCAAAAGTTAATAGTAGTATCAGTACTCAGTATCGGTGAACAGTTAAGAGTGAAGGAGGCAGATCAATGCATTTAGGGCTCAGTTCCCAACCAAAGTGTTTGTTTACTTGAGTCTGGCGCCGGCTCCTCCTGTGCAACTCCGTCCTTCCATCATTGATCGTGGTGACTGCATTCCCTCGAGGAGTATAAAGCATGGCAACTTTTTTTTTTTTTTTTCCTCCTGCCTTCTCAATCTCATTTTTTTTTTCTTTCTCCTCCCGTCGTGTTTGCTCGGGTTCTCAATGTACTTGTTCAAACAGCGTTCCCACCTGCTGTCGGAGACGCGTCATATGCAGCTGTTGTCATGGAAACCGGCACACCGCCACGTATATCCGCCCCCCCCAAAAGTTTTTTCCTTCGTGTTCTCACAAACTGTAAAGTTGTTGCGCCCTCCCCACATGATGCTGATTGGCTGACGGAGGTGATAGCGGCAGCTCTGCGCAATGTTTTTCGCCGCCACCCGCTTTCATCCGTCTGCTCTTGAAGAATGGGAGGGAAGCTGCGAGCCCGACTGCCGGTCGGTATATCTACCGTGCGGGATTAGTGGGCTTTGCAAGGGGGAAAGGAAAAAAAAAATAATTCCAACTGCATCCCAATGCGCTGCAAATTTCTGCTCACATCTCCACTGAATTTTCTTTGATTCTTTTCGGCAGTGCAAATGTCACTGGCGTCTGATTCCCTGAAAAATAGTTGAAGTCACAAGTTGCACAATGTACAAAAAAACGAGCTAGCGCCTCACCTCCATTTACAGTATATGCACATGTGTAGGCACGGCCAAATCGTACTCTGAAAATGGCCGACGGCAACATATAAAATCCCAAATATTGGTGCGATCGTTGTCCCTCTGTCGACTCAAAAAAGCAAGTTGTTAGTTTGATATATTTGCACTATGATTATTTACGCACGCCGCAGAAAAACGAAGGAGAATGAACGTTCAGTGGCACGTTGCGTTCAAATAAATAGTGTCAAACCTGGCCTGCTCGTTAATTCATTCGGAATCCAATGTTGATTTTTTTTTTTTTTTTGTCGACTTTAATTACAGCTCCCGGGGACACTTCACATGATGCTACCGCCACTTGGAGTTGCTATTATGAATATGCAAATGCAGCGCTAATGCGCAGAGAGAGAAGTGGGCATTTCAGTTGAGCACACACTAGACGGGTCAATTCCACTGATGCCTCCTTGTTGTTTTTAACCCCCTCCCCCGTATCCTCTTCTTCAGAGGCGCTCGAGACAAACGCTATTTATCTTTGTGTCAGAAAAGCAGCCAGACATTATTTTCTGGCCATTCTTTTTTTCACGTTTTTTTTTTTTTTTTTTTTTGTGTGTGTGTGTTTCCTGGCAGGCCCAACAAGCAGAGAGGCGAACAAACTTGCAGCAGCCAGACTGTGGTCCGAGTTCTCCAAAGAGCCAGGACAAGGAGTGTCCACCGCAGGTACGGCGGCTCCCTGACTAATCTCCTTCAATCCGCCCATAATACATCCTCCAGGCTCCCTTCCCAAAAGATTCCCTGCCCTTCCCTTCCACAAGTGTGTTTGATTTGGCCCACGCTCTCTCGGATCGGTTACTGTTGGCACATGAAAAAACACCCAAGTGATTCACGTCAAAACGAAATCCTTTCGAGCGGGAAGATTTCCCAACAAAACTTGGTCGACATCCTTGCTTTAGCCTCCAAAATACTTTTTAAAATGTAAAACCGGTATCGGGCGCGTCTCAACATCTTTGGGGGCTTTCATAAAGCGAAGAAAATGAAATATCAATTTTTCACCGGTATGTTTTTTTTTTTTTTTTGCAAAATTTGCCGAAATCGTCGTTTGCCTGCAGCATAACAGCTCATTGCCTCTTCACCGTATTTGTTTTCAACTCCGAGCTCCACTGATTGTGGTCAAAATGACACTCCGGGATGATAATGTGCAAGACATGGATTTTTTTTTATTTATTGATTTATTCTTTTTTTTCTGGAACGCTGTTGGCAGGATCGTGGGAGGTTGCAGACTGCAAATTTTATCTACGTGTCATTTTCACTTGTCAAGGCTAATTTACCTTATCGACTCTGGGCCGTCTATTCCTGTCGTTAGTGATTTGCGAAAAGGTCACACTCGTGTCTGCGCATGCTTCCACCTCTGTCGCACCTTTGTACACATTAACACGTCGCACCGACACCTACTGTTAAGGCAAGAAGTAAGAACTTGATTCTGCTTACCGTACTTTTTGAGCCATCGTTATTCTCATTTCGCCTCAACAAAGCGAATTGAAGTGAGTTGGGCTGGAGTCTTTTCCTCATCGAGGTTCCGCGCGCCGCTAATGAGCGGGACGTTGGCGTGAACCTCCCTCGTTGATGTTTTCACCGAGTCAACCGACCCGCAACACCTTCGCACCTCGCGTGGCGCCTCGCGTGCTTAATTACGAAAAGATCGGCGCGGCGAAGCTCCGCACCTCAGGAGCGCGCTTGATTTCGCTTTATTGTTTGGAAACAGACGTCTTATTTTTGCAGTCGGAACGTGTTCTTCGGCTTCTTTCTTGAATACATTGCTACAAAGTGGGATCCTGGTCGACAAACACACGCGCGCATGTACTGAAGAGACAATATTGAAAGGGAGCATCGTGGGTGCATGATAACAGTCGGGCCGTGTCCAAGCCTCTAATAACAACCCGGGAAGGTAAATATTGAATATTTACATTTGCTTACTCCATCCTTGCCTGGTGTTGGCGATAAGAATCAATATGAATCGCGGGCTTGTCCTCGGCCATCGCTAATCCGACTTGTTGATCCGGCCTTTATTAACGTCTCCACCTCCAAAAAAAAAAAAAAAAAAAAAAAAGTCTCCAGGAAGAACATGGCACTCATTCCAGGTGACATTTTAAAGCACGAAATCTTTGATTGTGGAAATGTCAGTTTTAAAACGAAGCTTGTTGCTTGTTTGATTGCTTCCACGTATTTACTCCGAGGCATGAACATGGCAACGTAGCTTCATTTCAGTCGGTATGCACCTAACGATTATTTCAATCGTCGATTAACCGATGAATCCGATTTTTTTTTTTTTTTTTAAAGTTTGAATTCCAGCTCTTGTGTTCCCTGACAGGACATTATTTCAAATAGACTGTGGAGGAAAAAAATGTAACATGAGTGACTTGAAATCAAAATTGCGTTTTGAATCATAATCGCAATCTTGAGGAGGGGGGGGGGGTTGCAACCGGAATATTTTTCCAAATTGTTCGGCTCCATTTGTTGCCGACGAAACCGCTTCACAGAACGGGGATTATAGAAGTGCGCGCTCGACAGCGCAATATTTCATCAGCTGTTTTCCAGCACGCACGCTGATCCCCGCGTATGATTAACACAGCAGAAAGTGGGGGAAGGATTAATATTACCGCGACATCCCGCTTTACTGATAAATCCTTTGCCGTCTTCCTCCTTCTTGTTCGCCAATCTTTGGGGGGGTTGCAACCGGAATATTTTTCCAAATTGTTCGGCTCCATTTGTTGCCGACGAAACCGCTTCACAGAACGGGGATTATAGAAGTGCGCGCTCGACAGCGCAATATTTCATCAGCTGTTTTCCAGCACGCACGCTGATCCCCGCGTATGATTAACACAGCAGAAAGTGGGGGAAGGATTAATATTACCGCGACATCCCGCTTTACTGATAAATCCTTTGCCGTCTTCCTCCTTCTTGTTCGCCAATCTTTGCTATTGAAGGGAGGGAAATGATCCATAGATCACGGCATGTAAATTATTTAGTACACAAGCATCTAAGTGCCTCGCCTTGCAGTTTTAATTAGCCGTATTAGTGGCTAAAGTCGCTCTCGCCAGACTAATTCTATCCGCTCTCTCGCTCGCAGGAGTTGATGATGCCGCTCCGGCACCGGCGCGCCGAGAAACAAGCCGCAAACACACATACAAACACGCAAAGCATTTGCGTAATGTGACAGGTCTATTATTACACGGTAAGCCCACGGGAGCGCTCAATAAACACCTATTTCTCCCGGTAAATCCCCCTCCCGCCGCCGTCGCCACGCCGCTTTCAACGCCCCGCTCTTCTTCTTCTTCTTCTTCTTCTACTTTCGACTCATATAGGCCCCGTGAAATGTGTTTATGCGTTGACATTTGAAACGCAAATAAAGAAACACCGACAATGAAAGGCGAGGGCGGGGAGGTGGGATTACCGAGACCCGCCGCGTGGTGACAGTTTCGGAACGCGTCATGCATCCTCACGCGGCACGGAAACGTACGTCCTCAAACCGGTTTGTTGCAAGTTGGGTTAGTTGGCGGCGAGGCAAAGTCGCTTGCCGGCCTCGGGTTGGGACGGGCCCTCGTGGATGGACAGCTTTGGGGGTGCCGATGTTCAATTGCGCCTGGGTCGTAAACAAAAAAAAACAAACAAAAAGAAGTCGTTCGTCCCTCGCAATGTCGCCCTTCACTTTACTGAGCACAGCTTAAAAAAGAAAATCAAATCACACGCAAGCTGTCGTTTGCCACAACGGAAATCACTCAACACAGAGTGGCTCAAGGTTTAGCCAACCTTTTGCTCTCTAACTTTCACAAAAAAAAGTGTTGATGAGAGCAGGTTAGCTGACATCAGCGTGCATGCCCCCCCCCGCCCCAGAAAAAAAAAAAAAGCTATTAGCTCACATTTACATGTATGAATGGCCTCTGGTTGCGTCTGAAAATAGTGATCACAGCTTAGGGCCATGGAGAACGTGGGGGGAAAAAATAGGATGTATTCATGAGCAAAACTTGTGTTGACTCTGTACGAGTGGGGACGAGGTTAAATTGCGAGGACAGAAGCGGGTTCATCATTGTGATGCAAAAGGAGTTGAAATGCAACCCCCGGGCGCTATATAGCCGAGTTTGGAGAGAGGGTGGAAAAGTGGTGCGGTGGAGATGGGGGCGGGGGGCGAAAAAGAAGTATCTCAGACCTTTGATGTAGCGGCAACAAATTTACCTTGTGACAGAAGATACATGGCTGCAATAAACGAGTTATACCAGCACTTACACATGCAATCAGATGATTCTGGCCAGGGTGTTAATTGGATCCTAACCGCCAGATCTGATACGCCTGGGCCCCGCCGGTGACGGCTGTGTGT